CTTTCCTCACGCTCCCTCCTCGTGCCTCGCGGATCGACGCTGGGCTCTGCTCGTGCCGAGGCTGCACTGCAGCACGCCCCCCCGCGCGCCCCCCGCGCGCGGCAGGCCGGGGCCCGGGCTCTTCTGCGAGGCGCCGCTGCCGCGGGGCGTCTCCTGGACGGGGTGGCCGCGGCCACGGGCTCGAGGCCGGAGGCTCGATGTTTGTGCTGGCGCCCTGTCGCCGTGGCGAACAACGGGTCCCGAGGGGGAAACGGGGCCGGGAGGTATTTCCATTCTTTGGAGCTCTCAGGGCCCTCCACGGGCCCCAGGACTGTCAGAAAACAGCTTCTGGTTGAAGCTCTAGTCCTTTGGGGAGGCCAGGGAAACGGGTCAGGAGGCTTTTCGCCGTTTTGGAGCTCTCGGGGCCCTCCATGGGCCCCGGGACTGTGAGAGAATAGCTCAGGAAAAAGATCTGGTCCTGGGGGGAGGCCCCAAGGTCCAGGACCCGCTTCCCTCGGGACCCGTTTCCCCCAGGCTACGCCTCTTCAGTTTGAAAACGTAAGAGTGTAACACACACACACACATATATATATATATATATATATATATATATATATTACACCAGAGAAGAAGCCCAAATCGGTATATGGCTTGGAAATTACCGATATGGGTCGAGAGTGATTGTGACATCGATAGTGAGATCGATAGTGGGATCGATCGTGAGGACGATAGTACTGTCGATCTTGAGACCGATCGTGAAGTCGATTCAGTGAGATAGATAATGACATCGATCGTCAAATCGCTAGTGCGATCTATAGTGAGGTCGGTAGTGAGATCAATTGTGAGATCGATCGTGAGATCGAAGGAGAGGTGGGTAATCAGATCGATGGTAAGACCGATCAATCAGGAGAACGATCAGGAACCCGGGAACCCGAAAACCCCGCCGCCCACCGAAATCGGCCCGGAACCAGCAACTGGGAACCCGGGAAAACCCGGAACCGGGAACCCGTAACCCTGCCGCGCACCGAAATCGGCCTGGCACTTTCGCTCTTTCGCTAAATCTTTCAATATCAGCTGGGACCCCTTCAGCGCAAGCACTGATTGGGAAATCTATGGGTGTATGCAAGTATGTATGTATGTATGCATGTATGGTTCTACGTTTCTTCATAAAGGTATGTATGTACGTTTGTTTGTATACATGTACGTATGGTTGTGCTATGTATGTATGCACGTACGCTTGTATGTCTGTGTTTGGATACACATATATATAGGTATGCGTATATAGGTAGATGCGCATCTGTACTTATACTGCCGTAGTGTTACCAGGAGCAGCGCCTGATAAGGAACGAAAGGGCTGCTCTGGCCACGGCCAACCTAGGCCACAAGCAGGTTCAATGGCACGAGCCTAGAGGAACGGCCCGAAGATTCGAGCCCCTCCTGAGTCCAATACAATCCTTAGTTCATCGTCTCACCTGTATGTGTACATCTGTGTATATATTAGATACATGTATACAAATATACACATGTACCTATACATACATACATACATACATACATGCATACATACATCTATATGCATAGACATGACTACGCACATATGTGTCGTGCTCAACCCTACACATACATACATACATATATGTATATATATATATATAGAGAAGAAAATCTGCAGACACATGTTGGTATGTGTATATGCCGCCGCGCCTCGAGGCACGACGTGGAGTGCTCCGCAGGCTTCTTGAGTTATGCACGCCCGATGCAGTACTGTACTATCGCGGACTGTACTATCCCGCCCCATCGCGGATTCTCCATCGCATGTCGTTATTGCCGGCATCTGGACACGTAGCTGCCTCTTCCTCGACTCCATCTCACGTTCGACGTCTGGGTGAGCTGTTCACCATCCACCTTGAAGAAACTGTCGAAGTTGATAAGGCTGGTGGCGTAGTTCCGTCCACCACGTCGGCAAACGAGACCTGTAGCTTGGATGCGGAGTTTTGCTCCACCGCCGAGTCGGCCAACTCGGGTACGACTCTAGCATACTCCGCCTCAACGTTTTGAAAGGTACTCTCGATATTGCTCCACACGTGCCAGGTGAGTCCCAAACCCGCCCAGATACAGCGCGAGTTTGCCCACTTGCACTGCCGACACGTGTGCAAGCTGAACTCTGGCATGGGATCGTTGGGCTCGCTCCTGCACCGTAAGATCTGGCCGCGCTCGGGCTCCTCCAGTTGCTCTGTCACCCAGCTTCTCGACCATACCGATGAAATCCACGAGCTCCGACACAGATGGGGAAACACTGTACGGCCTTCCCACCGCCGTGAAGTTGCGGGGAACTGGGATTGGGCCTCTGCCTTGGACCGAAAAGGCTCGCTGCGCTGCTCTTCTAGAAGTCTTGCGAGCGCAACTATCCTCAACATTGCTAAAGAGCGCCAACGTCGTGGCAGCAGTACGGGCTTCGCTCTCCACTCGAAGCCATGCTTGCAATACGTGTTGGATTCGGAACTCTTCTTGCAACCGCAGAACCTGCACTGCCGGTAGGCTTCACCATAGTCCCATGTGATCCTTCCTCTAGACCCTGATCCGCGGGATTGTTGGCGCCGCGTCCGTGGACCCCGCGCGCCACGAACACCACTTTTCCGACGGGCTTCGTCTCTGTACTCACGCTCCCGCCATGGGGCTTGAAACCTGCGCCAATCGGGCGTGGACCTTGCACAAGACGAAGAATGGTCGCACAACGTTTCTGGTGCCGTCCTGGTACGACGGAACACCAACAAGATCAGAGCGATGAACGTAAGCGTGGCAAAAACACGCAAGGCCAGCTGACACTCCAATAGAGCCTGACAGGCGGGCTGCTCGCCCAGAGGGGGCCCTGGGTCGGGGTGTCAGAGGTCCTCAACACGGCCTTGATCATACTTGGCTACGGACCCTCCTCCTCCTCCTCCTCCTCCTCCTCCTCCTCCTCCTCCTCCTCCTCCTCCTCTTAAGATCCTTCTCCTGCTCCTCCTCCTCCTTCTCCTCCTCCTCCACCGCCTCCTCCCCCTCCCTGGGGAGGAGAAGTGGCGGGGGGAAGGGGGGCGAATCTTACCCGTCGCTGTGGCTCTTTGCTCCCCGCTGTCCTCGATGAACTCGCACTTGCTGTGGACGCCCCGCGGTCGCCCAGCCGCACCAGAAGAGGGCCACGGGGGGCCCCCCCAGAGGCAACAGCCTGCACAGAACCGCGCCGGCCGACAGCAACCGGGACGCTCCAGAAACGGACCCGCCGTGCACCGGGGGCGCGGAAACATGGATCAGCGATCCAGGGATCTGGCACGCTGTCGCCCAATCCATGGATCGGGGGAGGCGCCCTCCCCGAAATGCGGCCGATGCCGCCCCGTTCGGCGGCGGAAGTCCGTGATTTCCATGGAAACGGGACCCGTCGCTAATCCACGCCCCCTTGATTTGGACGCCCGAAATGGGTAAGGATAATTATTCACTGCGTGGAGCTCCCCATATGTGCATCTACTCGCATGGACCTGTCCGCCGTGAATGTCTAGGCGCAAGAGCTTTCGAATATTAACGGGCTTCAGTTGTGACGGTCTGGACATCAATCTAACTGCGAATGAATTGGAGTGTGAATGAGCCTCAGTAGTACGAGCGCGTCTCTGTGCATGAGCCTGGGGCCTCCTGGGGCCTCCTGAAACCTACTGGGGCTTCCTGGGGTCTCCAGGAGCCTCTTGGGACCTCCTGGGACCTCCTAGGAAGGTTTCGTGCCCCAGGAGAGGCGCAATCTATAGCAACAGACGTACATAAAACATTGCGGATTAGAGCCACAGGAGAAGGGCAATCTATAGGAACACGCGTAAAACACCAAGGACTCGTGCCCCAGGAGAGGCCCAATACATAGGAACATGAGTAAAACATTTAGGATTGTGTACACAGGAGAAGGACCATCTATAGAAACATACGTAGAACATCAAAGAATCGTGCTCCAGGTGAGGCCCAATCGATAGGAGCATACGTAAAACACATGGGATTGGAGCCACTCCTGTTGCCTTCTGAGGCCTCCTGCTCCTGGGGCCTCTCGGGGCCTCCTGTTGCCTTCCGAGGCCTCCTGGCGCTTCCTGTTGCCTCCTGGGGCCTCCTGTGGTTTCCTGAGGCCTTCTGGAGCTTCCTGGGGCCTCCTGGAGCCTCTTGGGACATCCTGTGGCCTCTTGAGTCTTTCTGTGGCCTCCTGATGCCTCCTGGGACCTCATGTGGTCTCCTGGGGCCTCCTGGAGCCTGTTGGAGCCTCCTGTGGCATCCTGAGAAGAATCTGCGCCCACGAGCCTGGCCACCAAAACAAGCAAACCGATCGAGACATCCTCAAAATCTGGCCCACCTGGGGGGTGAAAATGAGCGCCTCGCTCGAGACATCCTCCAAATCTGCTCCGAAAGCGAAGGATGTTGGGCCCAGAAACAGCAAACCGCCTGAGACATCCCCACAAAATGGCCGCGAACGAGCCCGTGCAACCACCCCTGGCGGCTCCCCTTAGGGGTGCTGAAACCAGCGCCCCGCCTGAGACATCCTCACAATCTGCTCTCCAAGCGAAGGATGTTGAGCCCAGAAACAAGCAAACCGCCTGAGACATCCCCACAAAATGGCCGCGAACGAGCCCGTGCAACCACCCCTGGCGGCTCCCCTTAGGGGTGCTGAAACCAGCGCCCCGCCTGAGACATCCTCACAATCTGCTCTCCAAGCGAAGGATGTTGAGCCCAGAAACAAGCAAACCGCCTGAGACATCCCCACAAAATGGCCGCGAACGAGCCCGTGCAACCACCCCTGGCGGCTCCCCTTAGGGGTGCTGAAACCAGCGCCCCGCTTGAGACATCCTCCAAATCTGATGTGTGTTGAGTAAGTCTGAGTATGAGTAGGTCTGAGTATGAGTATGCCTGAGTATGAGTAAGTCTGTGTATGAGTAAGTCTGTGTATGAGTAAGTCTGGGTATGAGTAGGTCTGTGTATGAGAAAGTCTGTGTATGTGTACGTCTGGGTATGAGTAAGTCTGAGTATGAGTAATACTGTGTATGAGTAAGTCTGGTATGAGTAAGTCTGTGTATGAGTACGTCTGGGTGTGAGTAAGTCTGTGTATGAGTAAGTCTGTGTATGAGTATGTCTGAGTGTGAGTAAGTCTGAGTATGAGTAGGTCTGAGTATGAGTAAGTCTGAGTATGAGTAAGTCTGAGTATGAGGAGGGGAGGAGGAAAGAGGAGGAGGAAGAGGCAGTAGGAGGCGTCCAGATAATAACAAGAACCCCATCTTAGGATATGGGGAAAAATAGGTACAATGCCGAACAACAATAGTTGTCCCAAACCAGCAGAGGCCGCTGTTGGGCAGACGGCCTTCTGTCTTCAATGAACACAGGCCGCGGCGGCGCGGACAACGAGTCCTGTTCAAAATGAACAGGATCCGTTGTTGGACATTGTGCCCATTCTTTCCGTTCCCATTCCGTCCGTGCCGACTTGATCCATGTTTGCGATCGCCTGAGTACATGAATCAAAACAGACCAGGCCCCCTCGGATCAAGAACGAATCACGACGGATGGGCGTTGCTCGTGTTCGAGCTCTGTGGGGCCTCACCCAGGCCTCGGGGCCTTGGGACCGTCAAGCAACGACTCGGGACAGGCTGGTTTCCAGGAGGGGGTCCAGACCGCTGGGGGTCCACGCCACGAATTCACATCCACGCCACGAACCACATTCAAGGGACCCAGGGACACACAAAGAAATAGACACAAATAATAGGATTTTCAATTTTTCTGCATATTCTTTAGATTTTCGTCTTCCCCCCCCACTTCCGGCTTTTTTTGCAGCTTCTCCTGGGAATCGATGATTACTTGTGTCTGTGTGTTTTTTCCTTCCTGTCCTCCGCCAACGGAAACTGCCCGAAGACCAGCAGCAGCAGAGCCGGGGGCGGGCCCGCCGTTGGAAGGCCAGCGGGATAAGCGAAGCTGCGCCCCGAGAGGTGACAACGTCTTGGGAGCCGCGGTCACCGATCGGCTCGGGCACACGTTCAAGCTGATCCGGAAGCTCCGGAAGCGGCCTGGACCTCTCAGCGACGCAACCGCATCGCGCCGGAATGCTCTGGCTCGCGGCCCAGGGGCCGATTCCAGGCCGGGGCCGTGAACCTGAGATCTCCTGTGCGAGGCGGGGATTCATCCGTATCCACTGCCTGGTAACCGACGCCCTGGTGCCCCAACGGGCGGCTGGGGCCCGAATATGTCCACATCCACCGCCTGCGGAGGTCCGCGAACATCCCCCCCCCCAGGCGGTCGTTGTGGCCAAATCCCCGCCTCGGATCCTGATCGCCCTCGTGGATCCCATTAGCCCAAGACGGGCTTGGAATTTATGGGATCCTGGGCCCCTTTGAGCATCGTCTAACCAATCCCTATCCCCACCAGTGTGGCCTGAGCCCACTGCCCGATTTACCCCCCTAGATAGATGGGGGTGTAGGCTGCTCTCTTCGGGTTTCGAGGGGCATGCCCCCCATTGAGGTGGTGAAGCCGTGGGGCTCGAGATGTGGATGGGGATGGGGATGGATCGGTGAACCGATACTGACCCTTCCCATTCTCCTGACGCCCTGCAGCGCGCGCTCGGCCCCCGAACAAACCCACCGCTCGGTCGAGGGTGCCTCGGAGCAGGGCGAGCTGAGGAGGCGGCAGCTCCACATCGGGCCCCGGGCCCCTCCTGCGGTGGCCGGGCGCACGAGCTCTTCCCGAGCTGCGCTCCGCCGTGGCGACGAGGGCGCCCCCCGAAGGCCAGCCGTTCAGCCGCCTCCTCAGCTCGCCCGCCGCTGTGCCTTCGGGCAGTCGGAGGCCCCGCCGGGCCTTTTCCTGCGCTCCTCCCTGGCCCTGCCGTGGCAGCAGGGCGACCGCGGGCGGATGTCTGCGGGCACGCCCTCCACGGTCCGCGGCGACTCGAGGTCGTCGAGCCCCCTCCAGTTCTCGAAGCCGCCCGCCCCATGGAGAGCTGCAAGGGCGTCTGGACGCGACTCGATCCCATCGCTGACCGCACGAGGAGGACCTGTGCCACCCCCATACACCGAAGCATCGGCCACCTGCCTCCTCGCACGCTGGAACGCACGCGGAGGAGCACGGTGCCTGGCCACACGAGGGCAGAACGCTGGTATCCGGCTCTCGCCCCAGCCAGTCGCGCCACCTGCATCCAGCGTCCTGATCGCCACATGCGCTGCTTAATCGAACAAGTGCCTCCGACTTCCTGGTAGGCTTACATTGGAGGATGAGAGGGGGCCTCGACCTTCGACGTCTTGGCTTCTTCAATGCTCGGCCCCCGGAGCTCTCGATCCCCTACCTCTTTGGGAAGGCTGGGGGGGGGCGCTTGCCATTATCGGTGCAGGGCCGCTTCCAAACAGCCCCTGGGAGTCTCCAAAGGCAGACATCGAGCAAATGCCGTCAGCATCGAAGACTCACGATGCCGGACGTGAGGCGTGGGAGGGATGGGACTGGGGGGTAGGGCAAGGGGGGAAGGCAAGCGCCATGTTGGGCATCCTGCCCCCCTCACTCCTGTCCGCCCCCCCCCGCCCATTATCTGATTCGTTCTGTGTCCGCCGACGGGTGTCGTAGCGGCCTTGGAACCACAAAAGGGACCTCGTCGTGCGATGCGCAATCAGATACTCCCTGCGTGCATTGAACGAGTGGGGGTGCCGATTGAGAAAGAGGATCAGCAGGAGGAACCAATGAGGATGAACAAGGGCGAGGACGAGGAGAGACAGCATCACAAGGAGCAGAAGTACGAGGAGCAAGAGAATCGGGAGGACCAGGGGAATGCGGAGGAGGAAAAATGAACGGGGCGACGTCGACGAGGAACGACTCGAATCCGGAATGGTGGGCGACACAAGGGCGAGCGCACCGTTCTGAACGACGGGAGCGGGAACACCACTCTGAAAAATAGAAAGTGTGCCGACTCGAAACGAACCAAATGGAAACAACACCTTTTCAACTTGCGGGAGAAAACGGAATATGCTCGGGCTGAATCCGGGGAGAGAGGATAAGGGTATTTATATTGAGAAGCTGTAGAAGGGAGAGAAGGATGAAGAGGGAGAACATGAGGAATGAAGAGTAGGAAGAAGAGGTGGAGGAAGGGCCGACAGTACAGGCATGACGACACCATGACAAAATGGGAGGAAAGCGAGGCGGTGTAGGGATGAGGGAGAGGGAAGATTTGGAGGAGGATAGGGGATGACGCTAACGAGGAGTAGGCGGAGGAGAGGCAGGTCAAGGGAGGAGGGGGTGGGGGAGAAGGACTGGGACGGCGAGGAGGAGGAGGAAGACTGGGAATCGCCCAGATACATCTCGACTCGGGCCACCCCCTCCTGGCGCCCATCTACGACCTCTGACGCTTCTCCGCCCAACGACTGCCCCGCGATGGCGACGCCGAGGGCCCTAAAACCTATCGATCCTCTCGCCTCGAACCTCGAATTGAGGACGGGGATCTCAGCGGCGATCCTGGGGGGAAGCGAGAGGGGGGAGGCCTTCTCAGAAGGCTCGGAAGCCCCCTCGGCCTTCGGAGAAATAAGCCTTCCCCGCAGACGCCGAACACCTCTCCGAAGGCCGGAGGGCCTCTGAGAAGCCCCGCCGCCCCCTTAGACGGCCTTCTCCTGCTCATTTCCCCCCCCTTCGGTCGCCGGTGAGGAACAGGGAGGGGAGAGAAGGAGGAGGAGGAGGAGGAGGAGGAGGAGGAGGAGGAGGAGGAGGAGAAGGAGGAGCAGGAGCAGGAGGAGGAGGAGGAGCAGGAGGAGGAGCAGGAGGAAAAGGAAAAGGAGCAGGAGGAGGAGAGGGAGGCGGCGGAGGAGGAGGAAGAGGAGGAGCAGGAGGAGCAGCAGCAGCAGGAGGAGGAAAAAGATGCAGGGGGAGGAGGAGGAGGAGGAGGAGGAGGAGGAGGAGGAGGAGGAGGAGGAGGAGGAGGAGGAGGAGGGAGGAGGGGAGGAGAGGAGGAAGAGGAGCCTTGGGCACAGACAGAGCCTGTTGGCCCGCGGACCGCCGCCTCGGGGGCCTCCTAGGGAGCGGCCCCGCGCAAAAGGCGCGGCGCGGCGCTCTGCGGCGCGCTGCGCCCCGCGGCGCGCTGCCTGTGCGGGCGCCCGACGGCCCCCCGCCCTCGGCGGAGGGGGAGGAGGAGCGAGAAGGGAGGGCCGCCAGGTCGGCTCCACCCCAGGAGGAGGAGGAGGGGGATGAGGAGGAGGAGGAGAAGGAGGAGGAGGAGGAGGAGGAGGAGGAGGAGGAGGAGGAGGAAGAGATTCGCAGCATAATAATATTGCGCGAGCCGCTCCGCAGCCGGAGCCGCTCCGCAGCCGGAGACCGCTCTCCGGAGCCTGGGCGTCCAGCGCCCGGGCCCGCCGGCTGCCCGACCACCTCGGGGACCTTCTGGCCCGAGTCAACCCAGACCCGGGTCAGTCAGGCCTCGCAGAAGGGTGTCTACTGCTCCTCCTACCTGCAGGAGCAGTAGGACCCGCAGGTAGAAAGAGAGGAGGAGGAGGAGGAGGAGGAAGGAGGAGGAGGAGGAGGAGGAGGAGAAGGAGGAGGAGGAGTCAATCCAGACCCGGGTCAGTGCGAAGGATCCTGCAAGATCCTGCAGGATCCTGCGCCCAAGCCCGGGTCAGTGCGGCCCTGGCCCTGCAGAATCCTGCAAGACCCGGTGCTCTGATTGACCCCTGTTTTCATCGGCCCCCGTCTCTTGAGCCCCGACCACCTCGCTCTTGTAAGTTCCCGGATAGCTCGTAGAGAACGAAGAGGGCGTCAGATTAAGAAGCCGGAATCGCAAGGTAGCCCTGGAGCTCGTTCTGGCTTCCGGCAGGCAGCCTTGGCGGGGCTCCTGTGAGCTCGCAGCGTGTTCCAGCAGGCCTTTGCTAAGCGCTTCCCGATACGTCTGCTGGAAGCTCTCCAGAAGGTCCTTAGGAAGCAGTTCTCTCCAGGAGCCTCCAGAGATCTTCGACAGGCCTTCCCACACCCTAGATCCCACAGTTGGCCCAGGGGCACACAAAGAAATAGCCACAAGCCCATGGCGTCCTCATGTGTTTCCATGTTTTCTGGATGATCGTCTTCCCCCCCCCCTTCCCATAGTTGTCCTACATGGTTCTGAAACTCGACAATTATTTGTGTCTGTGTGTCGTTTCCCCTCCTGAGTAAGGGTCCACGAGCCTGACCCGCCTGTTGGGGTCAGCCCGCCCGCTGTGCTGTGTCGCCCAGCCGACGCGCCCGGCCCGCCCGTTGGGGCCCGCCCTGAGGCACGACTGCGGCTGAGGACGACGAAGAGGTCAAGAACGAGGACGAGGACGACGAGGGCGAGGAGGCGAAGGTCGAGGACGAGGATGGCGAGGTGGAGAAGGACGAGGGCGTGTACTAGAGGGAGGACGATGGGAATGACGAGGACGAGGATCGGAGGAGGACCAGCCGCTGCAGCGTCGACTACACGCGAGGGCGACCCTGGGTAAGAGTGACCTCGTGGTGCGCGGCTTCCCGGGCGCCGCGGAGGCACCAATCAAAGAAATCGCGCAGGCCGCTGCTGTCGCATCGCACTCGGCGCTCGGGGGGGGGGACCACAGTGGGCCCGCACCAGCGGTTGCTGCGGCGGGGGTGGTCACTCTCACGTGCAGTCGACGACGGCAACTCTCCCACCCAACCCACATCCGGGCTGAGACGGTGCCTTGACCCCTCCCAGGCCCCCCGACCCCTTTTTCGAAGCGAATCTGGCAGTGGCGACGAGAAGCTTCCAGGATGCCCACGCATCTCGAGAAGGTGACCGCCTACAGACCTGATCTGCCCCACAATTGATCCGTCCGTCGAACCTGTACTCACGATGTGTGATGTTCGTAGGTCTCCGAAGATCCTCAATACGATTCTTCCACTGGGCGAACATCTCAACTCTGGGGTAAATCAATGCTGTAGCCGATCTCCTACTCGAGAAAAGCACGAGCAGCGTCAGGGAGTGCCGCAGGGGCCTCCACTGGCCCTCCTCCAAGGGTAGGAAGAGGACAAGGATCTCCTCCTCCTCCTCCTCCTCCACCTCCTTCTCCTCCTTCTCCCCCTGCTCCTCCTCCTCCTGCTCCTCCTCCTCCTCCTGCTCCTCCTCCTCCTCCTCCTCCTCTTGCTCCTCCTCCTCCTCTTGCTCCTCCTCCCCATCCTCCTCCTCCTCCTCCTCCTCCCCCTCCTCCTTCTCCTGCTCCTCCTCCTCCTCCTTCTCCTGCTCCTCCTCCTCCTAGGACGGGGCCGCGGCGCGGCGGAGCCCGACGGGATATCACGCCGATGACCCTGTAGCCGAGCTCGTCGGCCAGGTGGCCCACGCACCGCCGGACGCCCTCCCAGTGGAATGGCGTCTTCCCGCTGCACTTCCACTCGGGCTGGGAGCGGGCCCGCTGTTCCTCCTCCTCCTCCTCCTCCTCCTTCTCCTCTTGCTCTTCGAGCCTTGAGCTGCGGATCTTGTCGAGCGATCACCCCGCCTCCTCCTCCTCTTCCTCTCCCTCTGGCCTTCTCCCTCCATTCACCCTCCTTCCCACCGCTTCCTCCGTCTACAGTTGCTCCATATACATGCTGCTCTCCTTTATCCCATGAAGTTGCCCAGGGCGTGGGTCCGCCCTTTCAACGTATCGCTGCGAACGCACAAGATTGACCAACAGTGTGCCGAATTGTTTTTCTTACGTGCTTTTACCGTCTGCTTTTTTGCCGTGGTTCAACACGGTGTGCCCGCTGCAGTGCTGGCCTCATTTTCGGATCGGCGCTGTGTTCCTGTCGTTCGGAATAGCGCTCGCGCCCCAGCGAAGGGAATTTTTCTGGATCCCGCAAGTCTCGGATGCCCCACAGGTCTCGCAGGCCCCACAGGTCCGTCCCACAGGACCCGCAGGTGTCGCAGGTCGTCGCACAGGTCCCACAGGTCCCACTGGTACCACACATGTGTCGCAGGTCTCACAGGTTCCACAGAGGCCCGCCAGATCCCACACGTCCGACAGGTCCCGCAAGGCCCACAGGCCCCACTGGTCTCGCAGTTCCCACAATTCCCACAGGTCCCACATGCCGCAGAGGTGTCGCAGGTTCCACGAGCCGTAGAAGCCACACATGTCCCTCCAAGTCGCACAGGTCCTACAAGTCCCGTAGGTCCCACAAGTCCCACAGGTGCACACGTACAACCTGCAACGCACGTCCCACCCGTCCCACAGGCCACGGAAGTCCCACAGGTTCCACAGGCCCCACAGATCGCTCACGTCCCACAGCTCCCGCCACGCAGGTCCCGCAGGTCACCTCTGCAGATATGAGGGTGTTTTGCTTGGGTAATGGGGTTCCTGGTCGGATATAACACGCGTCCGCGAATAGAGAAACAATCGGCGCAATTGGAAGGGACGGGATGCAGGGATAGGAGTTGAGAGGTGGTGCGAGCGCACCTAGCTTGCCGCCTCCTCTATCCCTCCTCATTTCCTTTTTCTCCTTGCACTTCGCTTCCTCGTCCTTCTCCTCCTCCTCCTCCTTCACCTCCTTATCCTCCTCCTACTCCTCCTCCTCCTCCACCATCCGCTTTCCTTCATTACATTACGCAAAGCATGCCCCTCTCCTTTCACCGCCGCACAAACTCGATTTCGATATACAGCGAGAACACCCGGGAGCTGCCTGACCAGAGGGGCGTATCGGACGCCCCGACCTTTTTAGGGCGCCCGGCAACTCGCCCTGGGTCTGCAAATCGAGCCTGGGGGTTATGATTCGGTGGCGGGCCAAAAATGGGAACGGCAGAAATAGGCACAATGCCCAACCACAAACGTGATCCAAAATCGACAGCGGCTGCTGTTGAGCAGGCGACTTTCAATATCGACTGGACCACGTCCGCGGACACACCGATGGCGAGTCCAATGAAAAAGGAATGCTGTCAAACTTGGCCCCCTTTCTTTCCGTATCCATATGTCGACGCGCCATGTGTCGTCGACGCGCCCAACAAAACGACGACGCTGACACCACGGCCACCCCGCGGCAAACCCTACGCCCCGCGCCCCAGGTAGACGAAACCGGCACCGCGGTAAACCCACGGCGAACCCACCGCCGCCTCCGAGGCGGCGTTTGCCCTGATACCCGCGGCACCCTCCCCAAGGCGGAAGGCCGCGCGTCGGATCAATCGGCGCGGCGTAATACGGTGACGGCCTTGAATAGGGAACCGTTGGATCAGGAATCCACGTTCTGGAAGCTGGTGGAACGCCGATCGTGGATTGTCCATGGAGATCACCGCCGCCCTCAACAAATAAGGAATCTTCCAAGGCCTCGTGCCTCCTGGGGCCCATTACTCAACGAGCGCCTCCACCGTATGGATCGTACGGGTTTCGGCCCACGGGGGCCGCGCAAATGCGATCGCGCCCCTGTGCAAGAAAGGGGCCCCGGGGGCGGGGACCCGGCGCTGCCGGGTCCGCCCGCGGGAGCAAACGCACGAGGCCTCCGAGGGGACTGGGGTGTATGTCTGAAGTCGGGCGCAGGGAGGTCGGCACACCATAGAGAGAGGCCCTGAGACATTGGGGCCCCGGGGGCGAGGGGGCCCTGGACCATACAAGCCCAACCTGGAGGCTTTTGTGCTATCCTTAGGGCCCCATCCCTCAGGGCCCAATCGTCGAGCTTCCGAGAAGGTCACCAACACCCTCAGAGACAGCAGCAGGTCCTCGGCAGGCAATGCGTGCAATCTCTATACGCACATAGATATGCATAAAGATGGCTGGCAGGACTCCGCCCCTGGCCAAAGGCTCGAATCCCCTAGAATTCCGCAAGAGATCGGGACCCCCATGACTAAGTCAATACGTTCATGACTGCGCTGAACTATATCATTCATGTGTGGTCCAAATGTGTTTTTTTTCACCTCGCCGGCTTGGAAACGAAATTCCCGAATGCCAATCCAACGTATGACTCGAACATGCTCGGCTGCAAACTCTTGCGAGGCACCGTGAGAATCTGGAAACCTCAACATGCGATTATATCATTGTTGAAATGTCCGAAGCTGACCATACAATCAGATTCTCTCTGGCGGGCCCTCCCTGTTTCTTCACTTCGGCGCTCCATGTTTAATCCCACTGCATTCCCTCGATCACGGTGTCCTTAGCAAACTTCTTGCCGAAGTTAATGCCAACGTTGATGAAATTCACAACAACCTGACATTCGAACGAAGTGTCATCTAGAATTGCGCGCGAAACATCACAATGTCTTTAAACCTGAAACATGTTGTGCCGTGGTCACAGGAACATGGGAATGATAAAACGGTCACAGCCGTTTGTGTAAACATCCACCAGTGGCCAGAAGGACTAACAAGTACGATGATTCTCGATCACAACGGCCAGAATGGGGAGATGGAGAGAGGGGGGGGAGAGAGAGAGAGAGAGAGAGAGAGAGAAAGACGGAGAGAGAGAGAACGCGAGGCAGAACGAGAGACATCAGGACGGACACGCACACACACACACACACACACACTCACACACATATGTATATATACTCATATGCGCATCTACGAGACTGCACTGGCGCTTCGCGCTCTGTTGTTCGTTCGCACCATCCCTAGTGGCCTTGGAAAATTGCCCCGCCCCCTGCGGTTCGGAAATCTTCGAAAGTTCGGGCGGTCCGTGGCCCTTCCCAGGCCTCAGGGGGCTCCCGAAAGGCGCCGGGTGGAGGGCGAAGGATCGGAGGGAGGAGTCTTGGGGAGCGAGGAGAGGGAAGCGGATGTAGGGGAGGACGAGTGGTGGAGGGGCAGACGAAAGAGGAGGAGGAGGAGGACCCAGAGGATGAGCAGAAGGAGGGAAAGAGAAGGTGCCGTCGGGGACGGCGAAACAATTCGGTTGTATCGCGCGGAGGAGCGCTATCCAGAAGCCAACGGCTCAGGTTTCATGTGTGCGTGCTCGCTTGCAGAAATGTCTGGCAGTGAATGACGACGAAAGGCCTTTGCAGGTCCGCATATTGGCCCGCTCGTGGTTTGCCAAGCAAACTGGCGCAATGTTAAGCAGTGCCGCCAAGTACAAGGCAATGCCAAGCCGAGGACGTCATGTTGCAGCGGGTCGCAACGGGGCACGCGAAAGTAACTAATTCTTGGGGAATGCACCGAATCCTGGGTTCGCGACGAATTTCTGGGCTTCTTTTCGGCACATTTGGGGTTTCCTTGGGCAGCCTTAGGCCATCCAGGCCGTCTAGAGGTTATCTTGGGGGTCTCTTGGGCCGTCCTGGGGCGATATCAAAAGCCTTTTTGGCTGTAGCGCTGCTAAGACCTGAACAGCGAATTTGTGAAAATGCACGTTCCCCTAGGGGAATGAAGCGATTTCTGAGTTCTGGGAGTCCTGTTCAGGGCCTCCTGGGCCATTTTGGGACCGCCCGGGTCCTTTTTGGATTTTTTTTTCTGCATCGGGTCTCTCTTCGGCCTTTCTCGTCACCGCTCTGATCGCCTGGGGTCTGCTGGCAAGACCCGGCCAAGCGCCTAGGGATGTCCGGGACGAACAAAGGGTCTTTTGGCAAGGGAATGCGGGGGGCCCGGAAACCCTGAATCCTGGGGTTCAGTGTTATTTTTTGGGGGGGAAAGGGGGTTTTTCCCCCCCCCCCCCCCCCCCCCCCCCCCCCCCCCCCCCCCGGCTTGAACACAATTGGGAAGAGGTATGTTTATATATACAGAAAGAGAGAGAGAGAGAGAGAGAGAGAGAGAGAGAGACAAAAAAGAGAGAGAGAGAGAAAGAGAGAGAGAGAGATAACACAAGAGAGAGAGAGAGAGACAGAACGTGAGGGAGGGAGGGGGAGAGAGAGAGAGAGAGAGAGAACACACAAAGAAGTGATACATGGCCTGTCCACCATCTGTGCGAACCTTGCTTGGTGGGAATGGGCAACAAACCCAAACGCACGCCATGCCCAGTTCTCTCAGATACGGGTTCCCCGAAGTCCCGACCCTCTCGCTAAGGCGGGTTGTACATCCCGACCCGGTGTTCGACAGTCCCCCAGGGCCTCGCGTGAGGGCCAGCGGAGGCCGAAAACAGCCAACACCCCCCGGTCATGTTTTTTTTTGTTTTGTTTACGACACGAGCAAGTGTGGACATCCAGGTGAGAGGGGTCTGCCAATCTTTGTTGACGCCCGCAAGGGGTACGGAAATTATCTTGGCAAAGGACCCAACCATATGCAGTTGTGAATGCCGCAAGTGTGGATGTCTTCTTCGGTGGCGCCCACGAACCGCATGAGGAGCGTGCCGAAATGTGGCGGGGTACACAACGCGAAAACAAACGATTGGTCGAATTGCGATAAACTGAGCGCGGGTGAATCTGAGCGCGAGTGAGTCTAAGTGTGAATGAGTGTGCGCGCGAGCGAATATAGTTGCACGAGCGCTGTCATGGCAACGCTTCGTGTACATGTATATGAATGTGAATGGTTCGGGTTCGCCTGTCTGCGCACTCGCGACGCTGAGCTTGGCCGCCGCGGAAAGTTTCCGCAGGAACCCCGGCGGCAGCGCCCGCGCGCCGCGACGCCGATGCCGGCGCGCCCCTCACGAGGATCGCGCCCGCTTCCTTCACTTCTTTTTCTCCCTCTTCGCCCGCGCGCTCCAAAGCCCAAAGCTGCGGGCGCAGCGCGGCGCGGAGCCCCCGCGACGCGCGCCGGTCGCCCCGGAAGGGCCCCAGCGACGCGCGCGGGTCGTCCGCTGCGCGGAGCAAAAAAAGCTAGCTAGCTAGCTGGCTGGCTGATGGCGGGCGAGGCTCTGGCCGCTGGGCAGAGCGACGACGGGCGAGCGAGATGCAGGGAAGAACGCAGCGCGGCTTTCCTTCGACGTGCGCCGGTCGCCCCAGGAGGGTCCCAGCGACGCGCGCGGGTCGTCCGCGGCGCGAGGCCAAAAAATTAGTTGGGCAGTCGAGAGAAGGCGCGGCTCGGGGGGGGGCGCCCCTCAGGTCAGGCCTCGCAGATCAACTCAGTGAAGCCGAGCTCCCTGGCCAGGGCCGTCGCCTCCCTCCTGCGCCGTTTCGTGCGCGCCGCAAACTGCTCAAGCTGCTTCCGCAAGCCCTCTGGCGGCCCTGCCAGGAAGAAAACGATGCGCGGCGCCCGCATGAGCAGGAGGTCCTCGTGGCGCGTGGCGCGCGCGAGAGCAGCACATAGAGCTCCAGCCACCAGTCGTCGTCCTCCTTCTTGCCGTTCCCGACCTCGTGGCGGCCGCAGTCCAGGATCACGCCTGGGCGACGTCGACCGAGGGAGCAGCGCGCCGGACAGCCGACGGCCCAGGGCGAGAGTCCACAGGACCGAGAGAAGGGGCGGCTGTTGACCGCTCTCGCCCAATAGGTTCGGCTGTAGGGTGTGCCGAAACGTGTGAGGGGTGTGCCGAAATGGATGTGGGGGACGCATGCGGGCGGTGGCACTGGTGCCTTCGGTGGGACTTTCTATGGGGCCACGAAACGTGCGAGGGGTGTGCCGAACTGGGTGTGGGGGACGCGTGCGGGCGGTGGCACTGGGGCCTTCGGTGGAGCTCCCTATGGGGCCACGAAACGTTTGAGGGGTGTGCCGGCATGGGTGTGGGGATGCGTCCGGGCGGTGGCACTGGGGCCTTCGGTGGAGCTCCCCATGGGGCCACGAAGCGTGCGAGGGGTGTGCCGAAACGCGGGCGGTGGCACTGGGGCCTTCGGTGGAGATCCCTATGAGGCCACGTAGCGCGTGAGGATGTGCCGAACTGGGTGTGGGGGACGCATGCGGGCGGTGGCACTGGGGCCTTCGGTGGAGCTCCCTATGTGGCCATGAAACGTGTGAAGGGTGTGCCGACATGGGCGATGATGCTGGTGGTCGTGATGATGCTGATGATGACGGTGATGGTGATGATGATGACGATGATGATGAGGATGACGGGAGGAGAGAGGAAGGGGATGAGGAGGAGGAGGAGGATGAGGAGAGGAGGAGGAGAGGAACGCGGGGCGACGTCTTTTCAAAACGAGGACCGAACACCACAGGATGGCTGGGACAAATTTGGACAATGCCCAACAGCAAGCGTTGTCCCAAGCCATCAGCGGCCTCTGTTTGGCGGCGGCCATCTGTGTCAAGTGGGCACAGGCCGCGGCGACACCAACAGCGAGTCCTGTTCAAAACGAGCAGGGACTGCTGTCGGCTTTTGTACCCATGCTTTCCGTACGCCGATGTTCTTAATAAGGGCCGGGGGGGCGTCACCCCTGCCGACAGCCCCACATCGACTTGCGTCGCGGGCAGCCACCGCGCGCCGAAGGCGCTCCGACCGCAGTCGCGGCGCGACGACGAGGCGAGGTTGACCCCCGTCGGGAGGGTACCCCCCACCCGCTTGTTAAGAATCCCAGAGTACCCATGTCGATCGTCGCGACTCTAGCTGGGCCCCAGGCCGTGGTCTCCCAGCGCGCGCGCGCACGCCGCCGCCGTACACTCCGACCTCCTCGCGCGGGCGCAGGCACTAACGGGCGCGGACACCGCCACGGGGGCCCCGCTTTGCGAGGGCGAGGGCGCAAAAGCGCAGAGGGCGTCCAAGGGCACCGCCGGAGCAGCTGCGCCGAGGCACGGCCGCATATCATGGCTCCTCTCTGCCAGCTCGGTCTCCGTGCCTCCTCCTCCTCCTCCTCCTGCTTCTCCTCCTCCTCCTCCTCCGTCAGCCCCACTCTGGCGCGACATGGCGCGACCCTTGAACTGGACCGAGCCAAGCCGAGTCGCTGCCAACGGCTGAGGGGGGCGGGCACGGCAGCCTGGGAGAAGTCGTACGGCCTGCCCTCGTTGTCGACGCCAGAGCACAGCGCCTGCGCAGGCATTAGGAGGACTTCCGTCGGCCGCGGTCGGGGTGGAGGAGGACGCTGGGGATTGAGGGTGATGGGGGCAATGAAGGTGGAGAGTGGAGAAAGAGGACCTCAGAAAGCTGAAGGGGGGGGAACCGAGGAGGAAGAGAGGCGGAGGTAACTCTCCTGAAGCACACACTCTCAAACCTCCTGACCCTCCCCGTTTGACTCCTGAAACACACCCCTTCTCCCCGAAACCTTCCCTCGCCCTGTTCCTGGCCCTCCTACATCTGGGCACCTGGACCTCCCTACCGTAACTCTCCCGTTGCTCACCCGAAGATGGCCATCCCTGGAGAGAATAGGGAACGATGGTGATGATGCTGCTGACGATGATGATGATGATGATGATGATGATGATGATGACGATGATGATGACGATGATGATGATGATGATGGTGATGATGATGATGATGATGGCGATGGTGATGCCGATGATGATGGTGGTGATCATGATGTTGATGAAGCTGATGATGATAATGATAATGATGATGACGATGACGATGACGATGATGATGATGAGGAGGAGGAGCAGATGGTGATGAAGAGTACGATGACGCTGCTGATGATGCTGATGATGACGATGATGCTAATGATAATAACGATGATGATGAAGGTGTTGCTGATGCTGATGTTGTGACTGATGCTGCCTTCGATGACGACGACGACAATGATGATGCTGATGATTATAATGATAATGATGATGATGATGATGATGATGAGGAGGAGGAGGAGGAGGAGGAGGAGCAGATGATGGTGAAGAGTACGATGACGCTGCTGATGATGCTGATGATGTTGATGATGCTGATGATGCTGATGATGACGATGATGCTAATGATAATGGCGATGATGATGCTGTTGATGATGCTGATGTTGTGGCTGATGCTGATTACGATGACGACGACAATGATGATGAAGATGATGATGAAGATGAAGACGAAGATGAAGATGATGATGATAATGATGATGATGATGATGATGATGATGATGATGATGATGATGATGATGATGATGGACAGACGGCCGGACGGACGGACGGACGCCGGCAATCGTCCCAGAGGACGGCCCTCTAAAGAGCTGCGGCGGTCGCAGCTCTTTAGAGGGCCGTAGCGCCAGAAAATGTTGCTTGGTTGCTCTCAGAGGTCGTTGTCCACGTGTTTTACTCTGTTTGCATCGGGGTAAACTGCTGCCACAAATTTCTTCACAAAGATGATGCCAAACATAATTCGATTCGTGCGCTCATCAATGAAATGGCCTCCACCACACCAAGGAAACAACGACGATGATGATGATGATGATGATGATGATGATGATGATGATGACGATGTGGGTGAAACTTATGACGATGCTGATGCTGGTGATTAGGCTGGTGATCACGCCATTGATGACGACGACTACAATGACGATGACGATGGCGATGATGATGATGATGATGATGATGATGATGATGATGATGATGATGATGACAAAGACGATGCTGCTGATGATGATGATGATGACGATGACGATGATAACGATGTTGATGATGATGATGATGATGACGATGACGATGACGATGATGGTGATGGTGATGGTGATGGTGATGGTGATGATGACGATGATGACGATGATGATGATTATGATGATGATGATGATGATGATGATGATGATGATTATGATGCAGCTGCTGATGCTGCTGACCATGGCTCGCTGCTCGCCTGGCTGGCAGCGGCCGGCTCCCACGGCTGGCCCCACCGGCGGGCCGGCCACCACTGGGCCCCGCCATGGCCGCCGCCCCCCCTCTGGCCCATCAGCTCCACGCTCAGGCCCGGGGCTGCGAGGCCCCGCTCCTCCTCTATCTTCTCCTGCTCTCGCCGCCGCCGCCGCCGCCCCTTGCTGCCGCCTCCTGCCCCGCCCCGCCTGCTGCTCCTGCTGCGCCTGCGTCTGCCGCTGCCTCCCCCCCGAGCGTCCCGCTGCCGATGCCGCTGCTGCTGCCCAAGCGCCGGCGCTGCCGCTGCTGCAGCTGCTGAGGCAACGGCAAGACGACGAGAGATGAGAGGGGAGAGAGCGAAGGCAGGCCCGCGCTCTTCAGCTACAGTCGAAACAAACGTTCAGGATGGACCCTTGTCGCAAGGTCACCTTGCATCCTTTGGTCCTGGCCATTCTCAGCACGCTTGGGCGCGTTCATCCTTGGCGTTTGCGTCGTTCCAAACCTCTCGCATCCATCAGTCCCATCCTACCCATATGGCTAGCCTCGTCTGTACGCTGCCCTCTAGTTCGCTCCCTGTCAGTTCCTGGGGGCCGATCTGATTGCTCGCAGACGCAAGGCTGGCGACCCCAGGAAATCGCCTGGCTCTTTGCCCTGTACGGTGCTGCTGCTGCTGCTGCTGCTGCTGCTGCTGCTGCTGCTGCGCGCGACCCCCTCGCCAACAGGCGGAGGCATCAGAAGGGACACGCCGCGCGCCCCGATGTGATACCACCATTGCACCAGGCAGTCTTCCGAAGGAGGCGAAGCGCGCAGTGCCTCCCCTCGTGTACCTGTGGCCTGCACGCGCGCATGCAGGAACTGCAGGATCTAGAGCACGGGAGCTGAGGGCAGCAGAGCTCCGCCTGGCATGTGGGGTGGAATCGGAGAATACGCCCGAAATCGTACAACGGCTTCTTCTTCAATGGAAGGCTTGCGGCGACATCTTCGCACTGTTGCATTACAGTGGTATTCGACTAGCTTGGCACACAAGGTCTACGCCATGTGCCTCAACAAACGTTAAGTGACAGCTGGGCTGGTACGATGGCAAGTGCCCTTTGGACAAATCCCACCGATGCGTGTAACAGATGTTTGTGCGCCACGAAACGGTAAACACATAGACGATATCGGAGTGAACTCCTCACAGCGGCTCTCTGCAAACTACGATTCCAATCTACCTACGGTTTGACTATGCGAGGTCCGATTCGTGGGGTCCAATCTGCGGGGTTTCATCTGCGTGGGTGGAAGCCCTGCTATGAAGTAGGACCTCATGACCCCACATGGTGGGACCGTTGAGGCCCAGCGGGGAGGAGACAGGGAGGAGGGGGAAGGGGATGAGGAGAAGGAGCAGGAGGGGGAGGAGGAGGGACAGGAGGAGAAAGAGGGGCATGGGGAGGAATAGGAGGAGTAGGAGGACGAGGAGGGGGAGGAGGAGGAGGTGGTACGCTATTGGGTGGGATCCTGTGGAGTGGGACCCTGTGGGGTGAGATCCTTTGGAATTGAACCCTACGGGGTGGGACCCCGTGGGCTGGGAGCCTTCTCATACCGTCCTGTCGACTCTTGCGAATCGACGCTAATCGACACTAGATCGACGCAAAATCCACGTCAATCGACGCTAGCCAACGCTAAATCGGCGCTATCTCAGCGACTCCGAGATGCTAATCGACGCTAATATCGGAATTAACAGGGTACGCCAGGCTCCCATGATTTGCTACAGAAGAAGCCTACGGGCTGGGACCCTATGACACTGGACCCCCTGGAGCGAGAACAGGCGGGACCAGCCAGTAAAGTCTGAAACTCCAGCCAAACACAGCCAACTCGTTTCAAACTAAGGAAGCACTCTTGATTGCAAGCGCTGTTCGGGGAGCTACGCTCACTCCATGCGCTCCTGCTGAGACAGCCTGCCGCGCCTGCGCTTGCACCCAGGCGCGCCGCGCGCCACTTGGAAGGCGCAATCCTGGATCACATGCGGCATGCACTCTCCGAAAATTTGCAGGAGGCCGCTGGTCCTCCGTGCACACAAGTACAACGCGTCGAGGCTGATTGCATATGCCATGGCCAGCTCAGGGCGAACAGAAAATGAAACAATAGAAGCACGCTGGCTGCAAGAACATTGGAGACACAACGGAGAAGACGGAGCCAGGACGATAATACATTCGGGGGAGGATCGGTCGAAAATCGCTGTGATCCGGCGGCTCTGGAGAATGTCTCGGGCGCCGCGGCCTTCTCAGAGTGTGTCCGAACTTTCTGCGAGCGATCCGGAACGCTCTGGAACGGATGCATCCTCGTCCTAGCCTCGTCCTAGAAACAAGAGCGTCCGCCACCGTGTCTCTGGCACGAAGTGGAGTGCCCCACGGCTCACGCAGCATTGAGAGGGCCGTGACGCTGCTGGTGCAGCCAAAATGAGAACTCTGGACAGACCCGGACGTATCGTTTCCTGGGCAGGCCTGGGGTCCGCTGGCATCGCTCGCGTCGGCCGACCCCGTTCAAGAGGGCCCCAAATCGAGCCCAGATGGCTCCAAGAGGCCCTCAAATTGGTCGTCAAAGAGGCCTCCAAGTCGCCCCAAGATCGCTCCAAGACGCGCATGATGGCCTTCAGACGGCCAGACGAGCCCCCAAGATGGCCCGAAGACGGGCCAATAATCCTCCAAGACGGCCACAGAGGTGCACAAATCATTGATTTCCCCAAGGTGTTTGACAGATGTTGGCGTTCTCGCCTTTTCCACTTCCCGACGCTCCAAGACGCCCCAACAGCCCCTCTAAGATCACCCTAAAACGGCCCAAGAGACCTTCAAGAGGGCCCCACGACGGCCGAAGAGCGCCCCAAGACGGCCCCAACAGGGCCCAAGAGGGGTCCAAGACGGCCCCAAAAGGCGCCCAAGAGAGGGAACACAAACCGAACATCCGAGCCCCCCGCCCCGAGAGGCGTCCAGGAGGCCCCAAGAGGCGCAATGAACCCCACGAAGAGCCCAAGAGACTCCCAAGAGACCCGAAGAGGCCCCCACCCAAAGGTCCAAAAGGCGCCCCCAAACGACCCCCAAAGTGGCTTCCAAACTGTCTCCAAGAGGCCCCCGAGAGGCCTCCCACGAGATCCCAACGAACATCCAATAAGCTCAATACCCACAACCAAGGCACGGTGGCGGAATGGGCCGAAGGCCATTGGACAACACTGGCTACACAAGGTGCGGGCTCCTGGCAACCCGCGGGAAACTATGCTTCGGCCTTGTAGCCCGCCGGATAGCCCAACTGGCCCTGCACGGGAGAGCTGCATCGGCATAACTACTGGCCTTGCCTACTGAAGCAGCGGGCGCCGGCGAAACGGTCAGAGGCTCGGATCGCTCGTCGTGTGCGCGTCCCTCAGCCCACGCGCTCCTGGGCACGCTTCTCCATGCTCACCAACGGTTGTCATGCTATTTCAGACCCCCGTGCTGTCCGCACAAACCACCCCCCGATAGGAAACTGAGCACCGCTCGCATGTGCATAGCACAGAGTGGTCACCCGTTCGGTCTCCGTGTCGTCCGTGTTTGGTTTTGCTCATTACTGGCGAACCCTTGGCCAGTGGGCCAAATCAGACCAGGAAGAGCTCGGAACCGATGCGAAGCGAGCCCTCGAAGCCAAGCCTCCCCGTGAAGAGTTCAACACCAGCCGCTCTGTCACCTGTCAGCTGCGCCGAGCGCGGTGCCACACGTCGCAGGACCTACATAGAGAAGTAGCCGCTTCGCTTCGAGAGCACCCGACCCAAGAGCCAGGGCTGGATATGGCAAGATCGCCGAGTCAGTAACTCGCCATCGCTCGGACGCCCATCCCCTATGCATTTGTATTGAGTTCGTGCGTGGCTGCTGTTGATCGAAAACTGCCAGTCTGGTCATCCCCCCCCGCCCCAAATGCAAATGCGAACGGCCGCTCATACGACCAGAGCGGTGCGAAATCGAACTGTGGCGAACATGATGGTAGTCAATAAAAGCAATTGCAACTATAACCGGCACACAAAACGGCCACCGCAACTACAGATGAGACGGACGACCACGTCAACACCAAACATACCGAGGAACAAGTGCGGCTCCCAGTGAAAACTAGTACGGCGTCTCAAGGTGAAGCGCATGGCAACTTAATGTCATGTCGTTGCGTGTCACGGGTGGCAAAAAACCAACGCTGACAAATTATTGTTGATGCACTCAGGTCCCTTGCTTGCAAATCATTGAACTGAAAATATGCCGCCGCGCAGCGCCTTCTTTAATCATGTGTCGCCGCGCCGTTTGTTCTCGCCGCGCCCAAAGAGACGACGCCGACACCACGGCAAACTCACGGCAAGCCCTGCGCCCCGCGCCCAAAGTCGACGAGGCCGGCAACGCAGCAAACCCCACGACGAACCCACCGCGTCCGAGGCGGAGCTTGCCCTGGTGGCCGCGGCGCCTTCCCTGAGACGCAAGGCCGCGCGTCGGAAGAAGCGGCGCGGCGACATGCTAGACTTGACTGATTGCAAATCTGGGACATGGGCATGGGGTGGCAAGGTGTCAAGGGGGTCCCGGATGGTTTTGCAGTGGACTCGACGAACAAGACGCCCCCCAACTCCTGACCCCTCGAAGCAGAGGCCACACAAGGGGAACCCCTTCGCGCTGACCACCGCGCGGGAACCTCGCCGCGAGAGCCGGAACGGAGCCCTATACCCGCAGCGCAAGAGCCCAGCAACGTCAGAAAACAGGCAGCTGCCACCCATAACATCCTCTCTCTCCCCCAGGGGAAGAACGGCACCACCGCCGCCACGAGGGGCCGGGGAAGGTCGTCCACGGTGGTGCCCCCCGCCCCGTCTCGAGCTCTGGGGCGTGGCCCTCCTCCTCCTCCCCCTCTTCCTCCTGCTCCTTCTCATCCTACTCCTTCTCCTCCTCCTCCTCCTCCTCCTCCTCCTCCTCCTCCTCCTCCTCCTCCTCCTCCTCCTCCTCCTCCTCCTCCTCCTCCTCCTCCTCTCCTCCTCCTCCTCCTCCTTGTCCTCCTCCCCCTCCTCCTCCTCCTCCTCCTCCTCCTCATCCCCCTCCCCCTCCTTCTCCTCCTCCTCCTCCCTCCTCCTCTCTCCTTCCTCCTCCTCCTCCTTCCTTCTTCTCCTCCTCCTCCTCCTCCCTCCTCCTCCTCCTCCTCCTCCTCCCTCCCTCCTCCTCTTTCTCTCCTCCTCCTCCTCCTCCTCGTCCTCCCTCCCTCCTCCGCTCCCTCCTCCTCGTCCTCCTCGTCCTCCTCCTCCTCCTCCTCCTCCTCCTCCTTCTCCTTCTCTCTCCTCCTCCTCCTTCCCCCACCGCCCTCCTCTTTCCCCTCTCCTCCTCCTCCTCCTCCTCCTCCTTCTCCTCCTCCTCCTCCTCTCCTCCTCCTCCTCCTGTCCTCCTCCTCGTCCTCGTCCTCGTCCTCGTCCTCGTCCTCCTCCTCCTCCTCCTCCTCCTCCTCCTCCTCCTCCTCCTCCTCAGGGGGAGGCCCGCGGGCGTTGAAACCATGGTGCTGCCGCTTCCCCCCCTCTTTTCCAAAAAGAGAGCTGTGGCATGAAAGACGCGGGGCCCCGCGGGGAAACGTGCCCTGGACCCCGGGGTTTTCCCCTTCTCTGGGCGGCCCAAAAGGAAATCCAGCTGAAAGGGGGCGGTGTATTGCAAAATGTAATGCGCTGGAGAACAGTATTGCGTTGTAGTGCAACGAATGCATTGCACGCGAAAGCCCAGCAATACACTTGCGCCCCGGAATGTATTGCACGCCCCAAATCTACTACCACCCCACAAATCGATTGCACCAGATCTACTGCACCACCCTCTTTTCGCTGGACTCCCTGATTTGACGGGCCCAGAAAGGAAACTCCTGCGTTCTCTTCCTCCTGAGCCCGTCTTTGACGGGCCTTCCCCCTGAGACCAACTCTTCAGTCTGAGAGCCTGTGACATGGAGGAAGCGGGCCCCGGAGGGGAAACCGATACCCTGGACCCAGGGCCCTTCCCATTGGACCAACTCTTCCTTCTGGGTCCGTTTTCTTCGCTCCCACGGCCAAGGGAGGGCCCCGGGGAGCCGACAACAAAAACAACGGACACAAAACTCCACCCAGAGATCCGATGTTATGACATTTCGCATACGGGGTCCCCTGAAGTCTCGGACCGTTCCCCACGGCCAAACTTTCATCCAGAGTCGGTGTGTCATTGCCCCGTGGCTCAGGAGATGGCTCCCCAGGGGAGAAATGTATGCAACATCGTGGGCATGTATTTGTTTACGATGCGGGGGAGTCGGGGCAGGACACGCTTCTTGCAAGACCCGCAAACATCATTGCGACGGAAACCATGAAATCCTGCGACATGATTGTTTCAATCCACGGCCCTAGAGGTCTCGACTGCTTATTCTCGAGGAGTGTTCGTTCTTTGTTCGTTTTTGGCGGTCGTGTGTCACGCGGAGCAGCCCCTGGATTGAAGACGACGTATCGTCGGAGATCTGGAGGAGGAGGAGGACGAGAGGAAAGAGGAGAAGGACGGTAGGCGGGGGAGGAGGAGGAGGAGGAGGAGGAGGAGGAGGAGGAGGAGGAGGAGGAGGAGGAGGAGGAGGAGGAGGAAGAGGAGGAGGAGGAGGAGGAGGATGGAGGAGGGGGACGGACCGTCCCGCTTGGCGGACCATGAGTGCCTGCATTCACTGGGTTTGCGTGTTGATGCGATGCTGTCCTCCAGCCCTGTGGGAGGATGGGTCGAGAGGGACAGCGGCGGCAGCCTCGGCGGCGGGCTCGGCGGCGAAGGGAGGAGGAGGGAGGAGGAGGAGGAGGAGGAGGAGGAGTAGGAGGAGGATGGAGAAGGGCGATTTATTCCACTTGACGCTGCCCAACAGGTGGCCTGAGGGGAAACGAACTGGGAATGAGGGAAGAGGAAGGAGGGAGGAGGAGGAGGAGGAGGAGGAGGAGGAGGAGGAGGAGGACAAGGATGGAGGAGGGAGGATGAAGGATAATGAGGAGGAGGAAGGAGGAAGGAGGAGGGAGGAGGGAGAAGGGAGGAGGGAGGAGGTAGGAGGAAGCAGGAGGAGGACGAGGAGGGAGGAGGAGGAGGAGGAGAGGAGGAG